AAGTCACACTGGAGTACTTCTTCCCTGCCAAATAATTTGATTTCTAGAGCTAAATATCTGGGAATAAAGCCCATTACTGTTTTATTTCAATTTTTGGTTACAATAAACTTCAAATATTTTCCTCTTTATGACATATTGTCCATATTATATTGTACTTAGAAAACATCTTAAAGTGATCTGTGTTGGGTACATTTGCCTTATAAAAGCCTGAACTGTATTTCCTCCCTACAAACATTTTGGAATAAACCTTGAAACTTGTGAACATGAAATTAAACTCATGGATAAATCAGGTTTAGAGGTGTGGATTAATTTGGCCTTTGACCATCAGTGGATGCTTCACTTTTGTAAAATGAAGTCATATCTAGTTAGGGAAATGACATGATTTAACTTCAGGCTCTGAAAACAGAATTGAGGCTTCTAAATTCTGCTAAAGAATTAGCTAAATGGGTGTTATTTCAGTAGCTTTCGAGACAATAATCAAAGAGCTTTGCCTACCTGCCTACAAAATAAGAAAAAAGAAAAAAACATCTTAAGAAAAAAACCAATTAATATGATCATTACAGCATTTTTAAGGAATAAATTTCTCACCAATATATTGCTATTAAAGCCAAATTAATCTTAGCTGTCTCCTGCAGAAATACCTTATGCATGAACACAGCTGTGTGTGTCATCTGCGTTTTAGCTGGGAGAATAAATGTTGAAGCAAGATGTCCCAGCCACTGCTGAACTAGAAGAAATGATGTTTGACATGCTGAAACTTTGCTGATATCAGAGTTCAGGCTGTTGTGTCGCCAAAAAAGGCTGTAGAAGTGAAGGAAAGGTATCAGACAAAGGTGGTTAAAACAACCTCACTTCTGGTGGTTGGTTGGGCTGGGACTGCTTGACTCTGCAATTTTAATGCCTTTTCAAGGCTTCCTTGGATCTCCCTTCCAAACTAAGCCTATCTTGCCTATTTGAATCTTGTTTTCTATTAACCATAGCAATGCATACACTCAGATTAGCTGATTGATCTCTCACCAGATGACTCATGCTCAGCACTTAAAGCTGGACACAACTGGCCTGACTTTCCATTATTTCACTTTTTTCTGTGAGCCTGATCTCATCTTATTATTGAAACCATATTCCTAACAACCACAGTAGGATTTGTACCTTACTTTTTAGGAGCTGCTTTTGCCTGTGAATGTTTTCTGCCGAGAGGATCCTCGATGATGCTTTTATATTGCACATAGTGTTGGAGACAGGCATTTTTGGTTTCAGGATTCCCTGGACATGGATCTCTTTGGATCTGGAGGTGTCTTTGGAGGGATCTCTCCTTTTGGATGAGCCAGCAGTAGCAGCAGAGATTGCCTCTCTGGATGCCTCATCTGGAAGAGAGCCCAAGGCAGTTGTGCTGCTCCTCTTCTTCCTTCCCCACAGCATTTGTATTCCTGGGGAAAACAGAAAACCCCAAAGCCTATAACATGGGAATCTCTCTTTTTTCCCTCAGCCCTCTAGTCCTCATAAGTTGTATTTCCTGCAGAACTGCTTTCAGCTGTATATTTTAGAAGTTGCAACTGATAGGAGTTTTATCAGGACTCACAACTGTTCTGTGACCAGAAGTTATCCATAGAAATAATCACAAATCATGGAGGGTAGAAATAATCACAGAGGACACTATCCATAAAAATACACTGCCCTGTTAAGTAATATACACACACTGATAGGCAGTGTGGAAGAGTCAAGATATCCCTGACAAAAAGGTGTGTTATGTGTCTTTGTCATGCCTCTTATTTGCTTCTGAGGAAGGACATCAACCTGTTGGAGAGAGTCCAGAGGAGGCACCAGGATGATGAGAGGGATGGAGCAGCTCTGCTAGGAGGAAAGGCTGAGAGATTTGGGATTGTTCAGCCTGGAGAAGAGAAGCTTTGGGATGACTTAATTGCCCCTTCCAGTGCCAGTGCAGTCTCCTGTGCATTTCAGTGACCTGAATGGCTCATGAGTCTTTTTGGCCATCCTGTATTTCTGAGGAAATCAAAGGCAATAAGGTAAAGCATTTACTGGTTTGACCATCCCTTGAAAATCAGAAAGTTTTGAACATTGAATCATAACTCTGTGTTCAAAAAATACAGATAGCTCCTTTCTGTAACTGCCCATACAGGGAGAGGGAGTCAACTTCTCAGGGGATCCTCAAGTGAGAGATCCCTGAAGATCCAACCCTTGTTTTCCAATTAAATTCATTGAGATAAACCTCATGCAAAGCAATTTCACAGCCTTACAGCAAATATGGTCAGAGTAAGGAGGTGCACACAGAGCTCCCAAATTCTGGGGTAGCATCCAAGCTCTCCCTCTTCTCTCTGGTATAAATGATTTTCCTCCTTGTTTTTCATACATTGCAAATATTTGCCTTATCTTTTGTCCAAACTAAGCTCTCAGATGGAAATAGTTTTGATGCAAATGCTCTCAACAAACTGGATAGACTCAATTCTGTGCATTCACTCAGAGCTCATGTATATACAGTGACCTGTTCCTTCATTCCCTGGCTGATCCCATACCTGCAGTCACACACTGTTTCCACAAATGTTTTGACATACAGAGGGGGAAAACATTGGCACAGATTAATGGGGTCAGGGACATCAAAGAGTGTTTGTGGGAGGAGGTAGGAACAAACAGTGGGGTAGAAGCAGATGAAGAGAGCAGCAGGTAGCATTAAGTAACTGCAGAGTGACAGAAGGGAAAGTCCTTTCACTAAGGCAGCCAAGATGTTAGATGGATAGAGGGGCAAAAAAAGAGAGGAGCTAAGGCACAGAAAGCACTTGAATGGAAAACAGATTCTCTCTTTAAATCATCTTTAAAATGAAAATAGTTTACTAGCCAGCAGAAAGCAGAGAGGAGAAGAAAGTGGAATGGAGAAAAAAGTTTCTGCTCATCCATAGCAGCATCACAGTAGGAGATAATTTACCTTCAGACCAAGAAACAGCCTGTACAACAAAAGTGTGTGTGAGGCGAAGCCTAACAGCTTCTTCATGGAGACTGTCAGCCCCTGCTGTGTCCCCAGGAGGGACTGTTTGCTGCTGCAGGGCTTTGGTACCCAAAACCACAGCAGGGCGGTCAAAATGGGCTGCAAGGGAGAAGGAGAAAACAGTGGAGACCAGAGTGAGTGAAGGAGGAGACTCTAAGTCACATCTCTCCTCTCTAACTTCTTAGAATACTGCTCTGAACAAAGAAAGAAGAGTTGCCTGGAGTATCCACACTCCATTTACTCCTAACTACCAGACTAGCTATGTGTGGATATTGGCTTCTAAGTCTAAGTACAGGAACCTTCAAGAACTGAGAATTAAGCTCCAGGAAATTTCTTACATATAGTGCAAATGGAGACAACCTTCCCTTCTGTGTTGTTTCCCTTCCTTCTCCCTGCATCCCTTCCCTTCTCCCTGCATCCCTTCCCTTCTCTCTGCAACCCTTCCCTTCTCTCTGACCCCCTTCCCTGCTTTTAAGGCCCTCCCACAAAGCCCAGAGAATCCCTATGGAGAAGTGGATTAGAGAAATGCATGAACAAAACTAGGAATGGGGTCTAGAATTAGCAAAAGGTGTTGGATCCTTCTTAACATTTTAAGTCAGTAAAAAGATGCCTAAGAAAGAATTAAAAAAGCACAATTCCTCATGATATTCAGGTATGAAACCACTTCATCCTGCCTGCCTGAAAAGTGTCTTCCTTGGATCTTGTTTTAATATCATAACTAAACCTTAATCCTTATTAGATTTGCAGTACAGTAGGATTTTTTTGGTAGTTAATCAAGGCAATAAAAAGGTGCATCTTGTTCTTGTCTAACACTGAAGGCAATCAGAATAATAACAGAGTCAATTTGCTAAATTCTTCCCTCTAACTCCCTCTTGAATTAACCTTTCCATTGAAAAGGTACACCCAGGTGCAGCTAATCCCCAGGAAAACACAGCAAAGCAAACCAGACATGGGCTGCAAAGATCAACTCCCTCATCCTCAAAGCAGCTCTCAATTACCTTAACTAACCAACACAGATGCAAATGATATTTAAGGGGGAAGAAAAAAAAGAGCAAGAAAAAGGTACTTAAAGGTAAGATCACAGCCTTGCAACTCTGCACATTCTGGCCCCGTTTTTAATACACTGTGTGGGGAATTAGGACTGTTACTCTCATTAAGACTATCTGGAATTGTATATCTAAATCCCCACGAACCAAACTTGAAATATATATGCCCCACTGAGGATAGTCAGAATTGCAACTGGATGACTAGAAATATGTGGTTTTTCTATTATCCAGCTGAAGAAAGGCTTTAAAACTAATGAACAAAGACATGCAAGTGTAATGCTTTGGGAGATATGGGAGACCAAAACTCAAAGAAACAGAGAGCAGAATGACTCCATTAATAAAATTCAGCAAGTAGAGATCCTGGTTGTAAAAGTTCAGCTGCTTATAGGAGAAAATTTAAGGAACAGAGTCATAATTACATTCAGAGCAAAGCTGGTTTTGCCCTGTACAAGAAAGAGGATGACAACAGCTCAGTCTTTAAGTAATGACTTAGTGGAAACCATACGACATTGGAGTAGTTAAAAAGATTCCGTAAAACCAAGGGTAGGTTTTCAAAAGGTCCTTTTTCCAAAAGAATCCTTGATCTCTGAGTAAAATAAGTATATTGTTTTACTGTAAAGTATCATTTTACATCTCCCCCCACTCCCTTCAGGGGGTTTTGCTAACGGGAAGTGACCCTGCATTACAGCAGGTTCAACTTGCCTTTCCTTGAGACACACACAGCCCAGGCAAACATCCCTTTTCCATTGTTACTGCTTTCCCCCCCTTTCACTTTACAACGGGATAATGCAGCTTTTCATACATGCATATAACACTCTGCGTAGTGTTTCAGTGCGGGGGTTTTGACCCTTTGTGACCAAGTGCTGCTTTGAAATTGGCCAAAGCTCACTTTAGCAGTGCTGCAAATCCTCCCTGGCCACCAAGCCAGACAAGAGGTGGCTGGGGAAGGAGACACAGTGTGGATTCACTGTGTGTCATGAATGAGATCAGACATCACCACTGTAGGCAGCATTTACATCACAGACCACCTGCTGGGGGGTTTTATTTTAGCTTAATAAAAACCTCGTTCCCCTGAGCTGCTGAGCTCTCCCAGACCTCCGTGCTGGGAGCTGGTGCTGCCAATAACCCCAAGCAGAGAGCAGCAGTAATTAACATACCTTAAGTGTAAGAAATTTCTACCTTCTTCAAGATTCAGACCCAGGCATGTGTAGGTGTGTGTTGTACAGGGCTCACACCTGCCTCAAGCAGTGATCTGTAATCCCAAGCAAGACTCCAACCTCCCGATGACAAAGACTGATGAGTCAATTCTTATCATGAATCAAGGATTGCCAGGGCTAAACCGTAGGATCTGAGATCTAAGTAAACAGACCACAGCACCTCAACAGCCTGGTAACACAGAAAAATGGAAACATTGAGAGCAATGACAGCGTTATTAGTTATTTCAGTGTTTGTCAAGGGATGCAAGATAGGACAGAGGATTTATTTTTCAGATCACTGCTGAGGAAAAGGCATCGCTTTTCATCAGGCAACAAGCTGCAATGGGCAAGGAGTGCTGCAAAATTCAGGGGTTTTGACTAAAATATCTGCTGAGCATCAGTGAGACCTGTGTCCCGCACTGCCTCCTGAGGTTTGTCAAATGCTTCATTTGCAAGAGGCAGTGTGAGCCACTGCTCAGCGTTAGGATATATGGAAACTACTCATATTGGAAGGAATGTCACTCTGCCTACGCTCCCTATTCAAAATGGGATTCTTGATTTACCTTTTAATAAAATCCTAGGCCTAGATCCTGAGAAACAGAGCTGGGCCATGTCCTCAGTTCTATTCCTCCATTACTGAGGGAGTGTGATGCCGAGAAAAGCTGGAAAAGAACTACTCCCAGACTTGTATCTCTGAGTAGCAGGTATTTGTTTATTCAGTGCTGGGCACAAGGGGGATCGCTCCACCAAACTTGTGCAACCAGGGACAAAAACTTTATGGTTTTTATACATTAAATGCTCATACATATTATTTATTTCCAGGGATGGGTGGTCATTATTATTACAATTGGTTCTCAGAAATCATTGTCACCATCCCACTCCCTCAGCCAACACTTACTTAATGGCTCTTTAGGTCCTACTTCCCCTATCTCAATTTACCTCTTCCCTTTGTTCACTCAGTTGGCACTTACTGGCCCTTTAGGGCTTACTTCTCCTTATCAAGTGAGTGCATCCTCACCAAGTTTGCAGAGACACCAGTTTGGGTGTGAGTGTGGATCTGCCTGAAGGTAGGAAAATTCCACAGAGAGACCTGGACCGACTGCATGAGGGTCAGTAAGGCTCAGTGCTGGTCCTGCCCTTGGGATACAACAGCCTGTGCAGCTCCAGGCTGGAGGAGCAGTGGGAACAGAGGTGTTGGTCCCAAAGGGCCTTGGCAGTGCTGGTGGCACAGCTCAGTGGGAGCCAACAGTGTGCACAGGGGGCCAAGGAGGCCAAGGGCATCTGGCCCTGGCTCCAGCAGAGTGTGGCAGCAGCACTAGGGCAGTGTCATCCCCCTGCACTGGGCACTGGGGAGGGCCCAGCTCAGTGCTGTGCTCAGCTTTGGGCACTCACTGCCCAAAGGCCATTGAGGCACTGAGCGAGTCCAGCCAAGGGCAACGAGGGCAGCAAAGGGCTAGAGCACATGGGCAAGGGCTGAGGGAGTTGGGCTTGGTCAGCCTGGAGAAGAGGCTCAGGGGTGACCTCCTGGCTCTCTGCAACTCCTGCCAGGGCTGGAGAGAGGTGTGGGATGTGTGTCCTGCCAGGACTGCAGGGAGCGGACTAGAGGGAATGGCCTTGAGCTGGGACAGGGCAGAGTCAGATTAGATATTAGGAAAAAGGTTTTCCCTGTGAGGGTGTTCAGGCACTGGGATAGGGAATTGCCTAGGGAGGCTGTAGAGTCACCATCCCTGGAAGTGTTTAAGAGGTGTCTAGATCTGGTGCTGGAGGATCTGGTTTAGGGTTTAGGGGTTCCAGCAGTGACAGGTTAATGACTGGACTTGATGGTCTTAGAGGTCTCTTCAAACCTTGATGATTCTATGATTCTGTTCCCAGAAGTATCAAGACCCAAAGTCAAGGTAACTTTGCAAGCTTGAAGTGAGAGAATCAGCCAGCCCATTAGTCCTGATGAACACTGTACCTGTACAGTGCTTCTTCAAAGCTGCTTCTTCAAACAGCTCTGCCTGGTGGGGATAAAGCTTAATTATCTCAGCTATATCAATAACACCTCAAGCTAAGAGTCTAGATTAAAAAATTATCTCTAACAAAAAAAGGTTGTCTTTTTCATAGCTAGCTCTGTTGAGCTTTTTTTAAACTATGTTGACAGCTGTGGAGACATTTCTCAGAAGGAAGAGCCTTTCTTTTGGCAGAAGCTAATATTTAACTGGAGAAAGTTGTAATCATTTAAAAGAGAAAGCTTATCAAGTGTACCTAAGACCTATTAGGCTTCAAACCTATAATCAGCCCAAAGTAGGAATTGCTTCTTGATGTTAAGCAACAGCTTGTTTACAGAAAGCTCTTGGCAAAATTAGTGTAGTCCCACACTTGAGAGCAAACAATCCCATAACCCAGCTAATCACCAGCCCCTAACAATAAGCCTCTCCATGGTGATAGCCAATTTATTTTCTCAAAGGACTTCACAAATAATAACTGATCTTCACTCTTGGTGTTAAACAAGGGAACAACCACTTGTTTCAGGGAAGGAATGGGTAGCAGTGTGCTGCTTGGGACAGGGCATGGTGCACTGACTCCAACTGCCACAGGGAGGTTTGGTGGAAGAAAGGTTTGCAGTGGCTGCACCAGCAAACTGGTGCAGTTTAATGGCCTCAAGTTGCACCAGGGGAGGGGTTCAGGTTGGACATCACAAAAAGTGTCTTCACTGAAAGAGTGGTTAAGCACTGGAATAGGCTCCCCAGGGAGGTGGTGGAGTCATCATCCCTGGAAATGTTCCAGAAATTAGTAGACGTGGCACTTTGTGATATGGTTTAGTGGGCCTAGGGGTATCAGTCAAACGTTGGACTTGATGACCTTGGAGGTCTTTTCCAGTTAATGGCTCTGTGCTTCTGCGAAAAGGAAATGTTCCTGCCTGGCACTTCAGGAGATGATCTTACACTCCAAATCATGAGAGTGTATTACTGCTGCACAATCTTGTAGTGGTCAGCTAATAATCCCCACACATGATTCCATCTGCCTTGCACCACTGAGCTCCCAACACCTCTCTGGTTGACTACCGTGTTTGTATATTCTGCTAACATTTTTCCCCTTTGCTTCCTAGGAGCTGGGCCAGGATTAAAGGAAAAATATTGGCTTTTCATTAAACCTTTCCTAATTTAGAGGTTGGTCAAACACCTGGCAATTATTTTCTCATTTAAGAGAAATTAGGTTTTAGACTCAGGCCTTGAATCATCATCAGCATTCTCGTCATGCCTTTTTTGGCCATGCTACGCCAAAGCCACATCTTTAACAAACCCAACACTCCCAGGCAACTGGTCCTTAGAGTGAGAGGATGTCTGTTCATCTTGTTAAGAACCATGGAAACAGTGACTGAAAGACACTTTGAAATTTGCTGCTGTACTTTTGAGACAATCTCTGCAACAGCCACAACCCCAAAATCTCCCAGTTAGTAATCCATGTTTTCCAGGATGTCATGCTAGAAGCTCTCAGGCACTATTGTAGTGACTCAAGGAGTAACCTGATGCAGTGTGACTTTAAAAAAAGAAACCTTCAGGATGATTCAGAACACTTAAATGGGGATTTGCCGGGGAAGAAATGCACTGACCACTTGGTATTCTCATCATGTCAAAGGCACCTAAGTTGTTCAGCTCTTTCTGATAATTTACCACAGCCAGGCTGAGCCAAGGATTCATTTCACAGACTGCACAAGAGTTGTTCCTAGTTTAAACCAAGTGTGAATAAAGGGAAAATGAGGCCCTTTACTCCAGTGGCATAATGCAGTCACTGAATCCACACAGCCCATCTCTTTTAATCATTACTTTAATGATTCTACTGTTCAGGCTGCTGCTGCTTGCCCTGAGTGCTAACGAGTGACTTGCACCCTCCAGTCTTTCACTTCAAATTGTCTCACATTTATACCAGCTCTGACAGCTCAAGATAGAAACGTCATAGAATCACAGAATCATAGAATTGAGTAGGTTGGAAAAGACCTTGAACATCATTGAGTTCAACCTAACCAAGATGAAAAACAGTGGAAGAACCAAACCCTGAACTTGCACATATGTCAAAACAAGGATAGCTGAACTTCGACTTAGATCTTTGGATATTATGAAGATATTTGGGAAAATAATCCTAATTTATTACTTTCACTCATAAAAATGTGTCCATAACATCATTAACAGAGCGGACATTCTTCTGTCCTCTAGAGAAACAATGGCCTTTCTATCCAACAGGTTCATTGCTACATCCTACAGCCTAAAGCTCAGCCTTTAACCCTCAAAAGACACATTTCCTGAGGGTGAAGAACACCTTCAACTCCAGTCAAATTACTTTATGATCGTGCCCTTAAACATATGAAAAGAAACAAACAACCAAAACCATCCACAGCCAAAATACCCAACCATCCCTGTCTGCTTGTTGTCTGAAATCACAGAGAAGTTGTTGAAGAACAATCAGCTCCATAAGAAAACTGGAGTGCTTTAATTGCAGCCAGGGGCAGTGTGACATCACAGTGATGCCACTGAAAAACAGCTTAAGGTCAGCTTTGGCTCATACAACATAATCACAGAATCACTAAGGTTGGAAAAGACCTCTGAGATCAAGTCCAACCTATGACCTAACACTACTTGCCAACTAGACCATGACAGTAAGTGCCACGTCCAATCTCTGCTTAAACACCTCTAGGGATGGTGACTCCACCACCACCCTGGGCAGCACATCCCAGTGTCTGATCACTCTTTCTGTGAAGAAATTCTTCCTAATGTCCAACCTAAACTTTTCCTGGCACACCTTAAGAATATGTGCTCTTGTCCTGTCACTTGTTAGCTGAGAGAAGAGCCTGACCCCCACCTGGCTACATAAGGTCCCCCCTGAGCCTCCTCTTCTCCAGGGTAAACCCCCTCAGCCTCTCCTCATATGACTTACTCTCTAGACCCTTCACCAGTTTCACTGCCCTGCTGTGGACAAGCTCCAGCACCTGAATGTCCTTGAAGTGAGGGGCACACAACCTGGACACAGTACCCTGCCTTGAGCACTTGAACTTCACTCATCTCTCTTGCTTACATCTGTTGCCCCCAATCCCAACGTCCATATGCATCCAGATGACATGGCAGAAGGCCACGGAGCTCTTCTGAGTCCCATAGCTTCTCTAAATAAATGGAATAATAAAGAATACCCCTCCACACTGATCCCTTACTTCCCTTACACCCAAAGAGCATCATCACCCCTTCCTTTGTCACACCAGATGATGGGGAAACTGGCAGGAGACACTAGAAACAAAGAGCAAAGCTCCAAAGCTCGGTACCCCACAAGGAGAAGAGGCAGCATCCCCTTCTTCTGAAAAGGAATTCAAAAACTTCAAGATAAGGAGAGGCAACTGCTACTGCCCATCACAGAGGTTGGGGTCTGTCTCAAAGCCTGGCAGCATCTTCCAGAGCCACCTCTAACAGCACTGCCAATTCCTCACCGAGTTTTCCACATCTGGAAGGAGCAAGTGCTCAATTTCTGAGCATCGGATGCAGTGCATGAAAGCCACCCTGCAGTATGACACAGACCCAGTGACACACTACGTCTAGACTAAGGAAACTTGACAGCCTCCTCCATTTTAAATTTATCCCAGCTGA